GCATCGTATACTTAATTGTGATTCGGACTATCTGGATGAAGAGCAAAGCTCAGGCTGTCATCATATCCAGATGCCCTGGTGAGTCTTAGCACACACGTGGCTCCAGCCTCATGATTCAAATCCATCCGGTTCCCCCAAATCCAGGAATGCCTGGACATGCGGTGCCATGTTGGGCCCCCATCACTGCAGTGGGAATGGGGTTTCTGTCATTGCTCATTCATAACTCTTTTCTACATTTTTGACCTTCTTCCCTTTGACACTAAATCCCCTTTAGTGAAATGACAGAAAGCATCTGCAATAAAAGAATTAAAAGGTAAAAAATCCTTATTCTAGAACTTAGAATCCCTATTCCTAGAACTTTGCCCATTTCCAGAATAATTTTTTTCTAGCACATACTTAGATAAGACTTTTGCTGTACTTTTGTATGACATTGCAAGTCTGGATTTTGGTCAAGATCAGAAATTCCTGGCTACAGAAAGAAATAAAATGAGCTGAGCTTTCCACCCCAAGACCATAAACTTTTTTGGACTGTTTTGATCAATTTTGGCAAAAAACCTGAGCACAAATCATTTCAAGATCCTCACTTGTCAGCTGCCTTTCGTATTAGTTATGAAGAAAAGTATGCTCATTTACACTAATGTGGTTTACAACACAACTGTGAGAGCACACAACGCTAGTGCAACCAAGTGGTGAGTGAAAACACATCAAACTATGGGGACCAAGTTGCTGGTACTTGCCTGAAGCAGGATCATGGATCATGTCTGGTACAGGAGGAAGTGTCCTAATGTCATGTTGCACATATTCAGACGTCTTTATGTCATAACCTGACACCTGCCAGCTATAATTAAGATTTAATCCTTCTTTGACAAGCTTGAGCAGGACTGATTTCTAATGAACCTGCCTTCATGACACAATCAGAATTAACTAGTCTTGAAAAAAAGTCATTCTTCTCATCCAAGAGGTACATTCTGCTCTATAAGTCAACGACTGATTTCCAGTGATATTAAGTATGGATTAATGTCACGCTTCTGGGTGGGATATTTCACTGATAACAAGCCCATATTAATTTTGTTTACATTTTTTTCTTTACAAATTACACAGCCTTGCGATGTTGTTTTTATAAGAAGAGCAAAAATTAATGTACATAGAGTTATTTCCATTTACATTAATCAAAATTCCAGTCCTAATTTTGGACTAGAAGAGTTTAAAGATGTTTTGATAAAAAATTAACTTCTTGTGTATTCACTACGGTGAACCTAATTATTCTGACCCAGCAACATGAACAGCAAATTGACATTAATAACAGGATCAGGCATACTATTGCAATCATGCTGGTACTGTTATTCAAATACAGAACTTGATTCTCAGAGACGTAAGTGTGGCTTCAGAGGAAATGAGATCAACCAGCCTTGGTGTGAGACTGAATAGGATTTGCTTCTCAATTCAAGCCACACTTCATCTCTGAAAAGCTAGTCTAACAGCATTTCATATTTCATTACTGAGTCAACATGGAGAGTAAAATACATGACTGATTATCCAAAGCATCAAAAAGAGTAAGAGGTTAAGGGAATGGAGTATGTAGCTTTTAAAATCCTTCTGACTGAAACACAGTTAAAAGTGAACAGGTAGTCTGTTTTGCCAGGATGTTTATTCCATTTTCCTAATTACAACTGCCAGTTCCTTTCAGAAAATAACTCCTGTAACACCACTCTGGTCGCTTTTCTGTAGCTGTCATGGTGCATGGTTTTCATTAGACCGATACAGTTGAGCACACAGGCAGTGGTTCTCCTGACTAAGTGTGAAGGATCAGGAATACCCAGCTACCACAATGCTCCAGGAGCATCTCTTCTGCTTACATTTCCCCTTCTGATTTAGCGTCGCTCAGGTTTTGAGAGTCCAACTTGAACAGGTTTGCAAGTGTCTGAATTTCAGGACCTACTGAGCCCCTGCTTGACACCAGGGAAGGGTGGGCTATGTATCGCCATCCCGAGTGCAGAGGTACACGCTGACACCTCCATGCACCAGCCCTGCTCTTTTACTAGCTGAACTGTTCTTTCCTCAGGTGGAAAAACCTCTGCTGGCTACACCAGTCGTGGGTTCATATCCAGGGCGAAAGCGAAAGCGATCAAGTACAGCATCGTAATTGTCCTTGGTAAGAGAAAAGCCCCACAGCTGGTAGCTAGGGAGGATGCTGACGCTGGGAAGATAGTCGTCCTCAGCTCCCTCCGTCATCAGCAGACAAAATGCAGTAGATGGCTCAGAGAAGGAGCCTTGCTTAGACTCCCTGACTCACCCTCTTACCTTGTCCTTCCCCTCTCTTCTGACTGATAGGCTCCTTCCTATTTTAGGCACCTGGCATAAGCCTCAAATGAAATGACATGCACAGCCCCTCATGTGCAGAAAGAAAGTAAAGGAGGGACGTTGCCTGAAAAGAACAAAGGAAGGGGACATCTCCTTCCCATATGGGCTGCCAAAAGACTTGGCGAGCGAGTTGTCTTTTAGGTTTAGGGAGTATGTATGGCATGTTAGCTGCTGGGGCGGCGCAAGGGAAAGGAAGGAGAAGCGAGGGATGCAGAGCAAATGAATTTGATGTCAGAAGTGTGTTTCCTGCCGAGGTGGGAAGAATGAACTCTCCTTTCCCAGCCAGGCAGCAGATGACTCAGTGCAGGTGTCCTCCGTCTCCCAGGGAGATGACATTATTCTGATAGAATTAGGAGGCTGACATTTTATCTTGATAAATAAAGGCAGCATCACACAGGGCTTGTGATTAGCTGCTGGAGACAGGCAGGAAGGCAGCTATTTACTCCCAAGGGCTGGCAGCCATCCCCTACCACTGAAAAAGAGATCACGCCTCTTTCCAATGCTACACAAAATTCAGATTGGACGATGTTGTGATAATAGCTACTACTGAGGTGCTTAGCTGACTGTTCAGCGGTAGCATCTGCAGACATGAGAGAGGTGGGTGTGATTCATGCTTTTCAGAAGCCCAGGAACAGCTTCTCTGTGTCTGAACGTTTCTGCGTGGCAGTCAGAGAAAGCTTTTGTCAGAAACAACTACTATCGCAATGCCGTCAGATGTGAAGAGCTCACCTGGAATGCTCAGTATTTCAAAGGACCTGGATAATATTAGGCACCCAGCCTCTCTTGACACGCAGACACATTAAGGCAGCTAACATTCACGGATTTCTTTAAAGCCACTTGAAGTTCTGCATAGTCAGTGCTATGAGGCTGACACTACATATTGCTATTTTGCCGGCGTCTGTGCATCGACACTGCCGTTTTGGTTACTCTAGAAAACAGGAGGGGAGTTTACCTCTTCCGTGCACATTCAGTGAGCACTCAGCTAACTGCCAACCAAGAAATACTGATTAATGTGACAAGAAAGCAAGCACGAGGTCACCCCGCTGCCTCATTTGGGTCAGGGAGAGATGATGCGTCTGATTTCACAGACACCTGTACATTGGCAACCCAGGTACTTATCGCTTAGATAAAGCAATAAGTACAGTACCTGGGTTGCCAATGTACAGGTGTCTGTGAAATCAGATGCATCATCTGATTCATCATTCATGAGTGAACTGCCTGTCCTAGTGTTTCCATGCAAGTCTTGAATCAAAAGCCTCTGTGAAAAGAGATGACATAAACATTTCTGAGGGACAGATTCATTCCCTATGCCTGCAAATAAAAGTAGATCTGTGGCCTTTTTATTTCTACCACCTCTGGACAAAAGCAGGGGCTATGAACAACGCGGTCCTCTCTTCTCCAAATTAATGTCTCAAATTGCAGTAAGGAATTAGAATCTTCCTGCACGCTCCATATACACAGCACCTCCAACCAGCACGCCAAATGACATGTTGGTCTGCCATAATGTGGTGTGAAAGGGTGTCGTTCCTTGCTCCTGGATGTCTAAGATCCTCTTTTTAATAGGCAGCTGTGTCAGGCAGCGCTGGCACGGAGCGGCACTTTGGTGGTGTGTACATTTAGATTGGCTGCTCACTCAGGGGACCATTAAAAGAGCTCTTCACTATAACTGATGATGCTTTAACTGGCTACCTATTTACCCTTTATGTGTTGTGTAGTGTTCAAAAGTGCCTCGATATGTCTAGAGGGAGCACTCTAAACACTTAGAGGAGCACACATAATATATTTTATGGGCATTAAAATAAATATACAGACAAATAAAAGCACAAGCTAATAACTATTTTCTTAAATAAGACTCTGAATAGGGAAAGGGTTTTTTTGCATGAACAAATATTTATGTGTTATGACAGTCTCTCTAGGCATGTGTGATTACGTCCCTAAATATCTAAGCTATCTAATGTCAAGCTCTTCCTCTCTCTGTCTCTCTTCCAGCATTTGTTCTCTGCTGGAGCCCTTACTTTCTTTTTGATATCCTGGACAACTTCAACATACTCCCTGAGACCAAAGAGCGCTTCTACGCATCCGTGATCATTCAGAACCTGCCAGCCTTGAACAGTGCCATCAACCCCCTCATCTACTGCCTCTTCAGCAACCGCCTCTGCCCTCCTTTCGAGTATTGCTCCTTTGCTATCGCTCTGACTACCCCCTAAGAAGGGAGGGAACATACAAACACAGTCCCTAAACTGCCTACCTATTTTTGCCTCTTTTAATTCTGACAGTTCCTTATTTCCTTTAGGGAAAG